TCATTACCATATAGACCTTGACTCGAATCCATTCGTCAGTCATAACGTGAAAACAATGCTTTGAATGAGCGGAATGGAAACGTGAAATATGAATTGAACTGTAGTTTTGATTCTTAATTTGAATCGCAAACCGCGAATATTTATTTGAATTATTGTGAACCATGACCTCATTTATAAGCTATGGTTTGAAATGTATTGAGTGAATTGAACTAAATGATGAACTATAATTTGAACTGTGAACATAGCTAGTAATGGTGTCTACACTGTTGTATATGTTTCTATGGTGTTGCCATGTATGTCATTTCTTAAATGTTGTTTTTTAGTAGTATCATGTCAAGAATTGTGTGATCTATGGTGAGTTCATATGACAAATATAGTTTTGTTTTGAAAGAACTTTGACTTCGGGCTTATATCACATACGCAGAGTTAAGCAAATGCCGACTGTTTAAAACAGATGAAATTTGGTCACGGCGTTCTTGGTTTTAAAGTTATCTTCACTAATCAGACTGAAAGGTTCTCACCAATTCTCTAAATGACAATATACTAAAAACTACACAAATGAGACTAGCTATTATAATTATGACAAGATTGATGATTATTTCACTCTTACCCAATTCGTGTCGTTTTAGAATTAAATAAAATGCACAGGGACATATAAAACTCATCCAGGGACTGACTAAGCTGCCAATGAATCCCATAAACTTTGAAAAGTGTGGCACAACTACAGCTAAAAATAGACAGAATAGGACTATGACAACGCGAAAAATCATGGCCCACACTGGAGGAAAATGTTTACGTGCCTCCCCATAACATGGTGGCAGAAACGAAAGATTCAACAAATGAATATTGTCAATTATGAAGAAGAAAAACAGTGGGTATGTGAAGAGAGCCTTAACAACCAACAATAAACTAACAATTGTGTGAATGGCGTTGTTAGGCAAATTGTAGGTGATAAATTCTTTCGTGTTGTCACCGAACGCAATGTATGGTGGGATCGAATATAACAGAAGAAAGAATGTGCAGAAGACGTAACTCAAGTTCACCATCCTGGCAAACTTTGATCTATCTCGCATACTCTCTTCAACACCCGCGATAGCAAAACTCGCTTCGAAGTTAAACAGAAGAACGCCACAGCAAGTGGTAAATGATTCAATAGTCACTCTGTGGTCTAGAGTAAATTCCCATCCCTCTTTCTTCATTTCATAGATTGAATATGCCAGAACACTTCCAAACATGGTAGACACAGCCATCACAGCTAACATACTTGACCAAGAAATTCGCGTTAATGTACGCAGAAAAATCGTTGGCAAAACTAATATAGTGGAGAGTAATGTCCACCCGAGCTCAGAAATTCCAGCTTGAGGAAATGTTTCCACCAAAATAAATCCCGAGAGTTCAAGATAAAGTGTTGCAACAGCAGTCACATAAATCAATTGTATAATTATAATCATTTTACGACCAAATCCCTTCCAGCAATCCTCTGCAATGTCGGCATAGCTGCTGCGTACTCGAACTCTTCTGACGTTTCCATCCACGTCTGTGACGTCATCATATAGACAGTATGCTAAAATCTGTTGAGAAAATACACATGATTTAATTAGGACCAAAATATACGTCATTTATTAATTGTTATATAAACAATATGTTTGTAGTTTCCCTTACAAAATCTTATAAGTCTAACCAGTAATCAGTAATCTAAAATGTAATCACTATGCAATTTTCCTGCAAATTGATTACTGCTCATTCGCACACATGATTCTTATAAACAATTTTTTTTATGGGAGAATAACGCTTACTTAGTTTGATTGATAGTCACGGTGAATAAATTATTCTGATTCTCTGCAGACAATATATAGTTGGACATGATTAGGGCTTTTAAAAATGTATTACGTGACCTATTCTGTTAATCCAACAAACAGGTGATCTTCACTAAATGTTGTGATATGTTACCTACACCTATATTTATTTGTATACCCACTGTTTTATAAAACTCAAAAAATGGATTTATTCGTTGCAATGTTTAGGTAAGAAAATTAGTGTATGTGCCCCGGGGGCAGCACCTGTTCAATACGATGACGATATGCCCCACTGGCTAATTGTCAATGCCCCCTCCCCCACATTTATCGACATATTCAAGTTAAAAATGACTGAGGATGTAAGTATGTCCTCTATTGATGAATCATAATAATTAGTATTCAACCCACCATGTAACAAGCGTTTAAAAGCTGGACAAACAGAGCACACATCACTTTGACGGGGATATTAGCAAATATAATGCAAACTTTTAAAGACAGAACCTGCATGTTATAATAACAGTTTTTTCCGGACAATGCATGAAAAAGTAGATAATAACACTGGACGAGTAAGTTGTGATGGATATGTACAGCACATCGTGTGCAGAACAATAGAATGAATAGTCCTCCTGGTAATCCTGCTAAAGTTGATATCTGATGTCAGAAGCATGTGATGCCCCATCAAAAACTTCCACTTCACGCTTCATTTCAGTCTAAATTCAATAGAAACCCAAATAACCTAATTAGGCGATGTAGTTTCAGATGATTATTTGTTTAGGTCTTTAACTGAAATAAATACTTGGCCACTAGTAAAACTGCACGATTGCTTGTAGCGAGACACCTTTCGGTGTTTTGCCCAGTGATTATGATATTATTATGATATGCATTGCTCAGTTAGCAACTGAGTGCAAACAACAACTTCATTTGTGTTACAATTACTACTGGTTTCTTGTGGTTCTGGCAATTGGTGAATAGATGGCCCAAGCGCTAGATTTATATAGTAGTGTTCTCTGAATTGGCTTTACTCAGGGGGTTGCTTGAGGTACTAGTTTTCTCAATGATGAGATTGCTTCCATCCTCCATATCACGGGCCACTAAAGAGGTACTTTGTTTGTCCCAAGATACAAGAGTCTGTGATGAGGCAGTATTTTAAATTGATTTTAAAAATCTTGGAGTCTTAATAATAACACTGCTATGGAGATGCAAAGGTTGAGTGTTGTGAGGTTCACATGCTAGAACAACAAATTGTCTAGATATTGGATGTATATCTCCTGTCGAGGCAAAACGACCACTACTACCTGTAATCCAATTGGAGCAGTGGTCAGGCGAAGGTATTCCCGTGTCCCTGGAAAAGGAAGCTTAGTAGTTGTTGGCTGTAACCCCATTAGAGCAGTGACCGGACAAAGGAATCCCTGTGTCCCTTGACAACGAAGCTTAGCAGTTGTTGGCTGTAATCCCGTTAGACCAGTGACCAGACAAAGGAATTCCTGTGTCCCTTGACAACGAAGCTTAGTAGATGCTGGCTGTAACACCATTAGAGCAGTGACCAGACGAAGATATCCCTGTGTCCCTTGATAACGAATCTTAGTAGTTGTTGGTTGTTACCCCCATTAGAGCAGTGATCAGACATTCCCGTGTCCCTGATTGTATACCCACTTTGAATATGTTTGTAGATTGTATACCCACTGTATACGTGTTTGATAAGAAAAGTAATTGGTTCGACGATGACTGCAAATATATGAAGCAACAGACCAGGAAAGCCCTAAATCAGTTTCGAAATTGTAGATCTGTTGTTAATCTTGAAAACTATATTACTCACAGAAATAATTATCGTATATTGCTAAGGGACAAAAAGAAATTATTTAACAATCTCAAAAAACGTGAACTTTACATCTCTGCAATCAATCCGAATACAAAGGAATTTTGGAATTTATTAAATAGTAAGAAAAGTGGCCCATCTACACAAATCCAACCAAGCGCATGGCATGTTTATTTTTCTCAACTCTTTACGAGTACAGATTTGAATTATGGGAATGAAAGTAACATGTTTTTAGAAGAAGTTCAAGACTATCTTGATAATTTATTAATTTTGCCAGAGTCAAATGCAGTTATTGACTATCAGATTTTAGATCAAGCATTACAATTGTGGAATTGGAACATGCCCTTAGTCGGTTAAATGCAAATAAGACAGCTGGTATTGATGGTTTATCGCCGGAAATATTTAAGCATATTCCTATGATTTTTAAACAATTACTTTTCAATACAATAATTAATACTGGTATATTCCCTCCACAATGGGTGCATGGTTTGATTATTCCTGTCTATAAGAAGGGTGAAAGAGATTCAGTTAATAACTATAGAGGTATTACATTATTGCCTTCGATTACAACAGTTTTCAGTGATAGTATATATCATCGTCTGCTTAATTGGGTGAACTTGCACTATCCTATTGTGGAAGAACAGACTGGTTTCCGTAAAAATTATTCATCAGTTGACAATCTAATCAT